AGGGGTCGAGTGCCAGAGGTCGAGCGTGGTTCAGAAATTCGTATAATAATATTTCCAAGAGTATGAGTCTGGCCCAGCACCTCCAATATTTGTAAGTCTATCACATGTTGATCTTGTTGGCTCGTCTGCTGTCTGCTCTCCTGGGACGCTGTGTTGCTTCTGCTGTTTCCTGCTGTGAGTCACTTCTTTCCTCGCTGTTACTGCTTGCTGTTGCTGCTGTTTTTTCTGCTGCTGTCACTCATGATGTCATTCTCCTGCTGCCACTCCTACTACTACTACTGTCACTCTCCTGCTGTTACCACTACTACTACTACTACTACTACTACTACTACTACTACTACTACTACGGCTGCGTATATCCCATTTTCCACATATTCAGAGAGAGATAATCTGCTTCCCTGTTATAGTTAATTATATCTCTCAACTCACTATCTCATGGTCTATAATTTACTTCAACACACACACACACACACACACACACACACACACACACACACACACAAATACAGATAAAACAACACGATATAAACCTCAGTTAAACTCTAATGGTTTACAAATCACACATAAACCAATTTTTTACGCTACACAACAGAAAAAAAACAACACACACACACACAAACAAAACATAACCAAACAAAATTACAATATAATCCCTTGGTTTTGTTGGTCTTCTGTCAATTACTTTATGATGAGTGAAGATAATGGAAATAAATATATTGGTTAAATCTATGAATCGAAGTATCTCTATGTGTCTGTTTGTCTATCTATCTATCTATCTATCAATCTATCTATCTATCTATCTATCTGTATGCCTACGTTTCCCTGTGTCTCTCTCTCTCTCTCTCTCTCTCTCTCTCTCTCTCTCTCTCTCTCCTCTCTCTTCATATAACTCCAGGAGAAAGTCTATATCTAACACACAAAGTAATATAATTTTTATCAGTTGAAATAGGAAGAAGATTTTACGACAAGTTAGAGTTTGCTCAGACATCAAACTCCGTGTTTATCAGAGCAGAGAAACTTCCTGCTGGCCCATTCTTCATCTAGGAGTCGCAGAGCGGGTTTTAAGTGTATTTTTTTTCTCGTAAGTCAAGATTTAAGAAAGTACATGGTTATTTGACTTGATATAACACCAAAAATAAGGTTATTTTATATTGGGAATTTACCTTAACTAGATACGTTCACTTAGTACCAGTTAGGAGACAATATTAACACTGAGACTCTACCTTAACTAGATACGTTCACTTAGTACCAGTTAGGAGACAAAATTAACACTGAGACTCTACCTTAACTAGATACGTTCACTTAGCACCAGTTAGGAGACAAAATTAACACTGAGACTCTACCTTAACTAGATACGTTCATTAGTACCAGTTAGAGACAAAATTAACACTGAGACTCTACACCTAACTAGATACGTTCACTTAGTACCAGTTAGAGACAAATTAACACTGAGATCTACCTTAACTAGATACGTTCACTTAGTACCAGTTAGGAGACAAAATTAACACTGAGACTCTACCTTAACTAGATACGTTCACTTAGTACCAGTTAGGAGACAAAATTAACACTGAGACTCTACCTTAACTAGATACGTTCACTTAGTACCAGTTAGAGACAATATTAACACTGAGACTCTACCTTAACTAGATACGTTCACTTAGTACCAGTTAGGAGACAAAATTATCACTGAGACTCTACCTTAACTAGATACGTTCACTTAGTACCAATCTCAATGTAACACACACACACACACACACACACACACACACACACACACACACACACACACACACATGTATTCTCCTTCTGCGGTACGATATTTCACCAGATATCTTCCCATTGCTGGCGGGCGCATGATGGCAACGTCTGAGAAAAGCCAGAATTTTATGTTTTTGCCGTACAATACTTTCAACTACGACGGGGAAAATTTTTGGGTGTCGGGCGCAAGACGATGCCAACTGAGACAGGCGGTGCATTTTACGATTACCCGGACAACATTTTCACCACACAACTCAGAGTTACCTCCAGGCATCCGACGACACCAGGAAAGGTTGGACGTTTTATACTCAGCTGTACAATACTTCTACCAGATGACTCGCTGTTGCTGCCGGCCGTACGATGATCCTAGTTGAAAGCGGACGAGTAATTTTATTTTTTACATTTAGCCGTATGTTTTCTCAATGGCTTGTAGTTGCTGCCGGGTACAAGACAACGCCATCTGAAAGAAGTTAAGTGTTTCATGTTTCCGCCGTACGATAGTTTCACCCCAGACCCCACACCAGTGGCTGCCAGACGCATGGAGACACCAGGTGGGAATGGTGAGCTGCTGTATCAAGTATTAATACATGTAAATGAATACTGGAGTTAAGCTGGACAGATTTGATGCATAGGTGAGTGTGGGCCGAGGTAAATGATTAACATAGGCGTGACAGACAGACAGACAGACAGACAGACAGAATAGAAAAAAAGAGAACGAGTTGAAGGTATGGAAATAGAGATGAAAAGAAAGAGAGTTTGTCATGTTGTGGAATCAAAATCCTGATATCTCTCTCTCTCTCTCTCTCTCTCTCTTCTTCTCTCTCTCTCTCTCTCTCTCTCTCTCTCTCTCTCTCTCTCCTCTGTCAAATTAGGATCCTATTATCTTACCTTGATATTATCAGCATAGTAAGACTGATTTGCATGGACACACACACACACACACACACACACACACACACACACACACACACACACACACACACACACACACACACACACACACACACACACACACACACACACACACACAAAGTCCGTCAACCATTCAGACTCGTGGAAATCTTATCATGAAAAAATCAGGCGCCTTTTGTGTAAGACCATCTGAGCTGTGTACTGGCCTGGCAGAGGAGAGATATTTTCACCTCTCTTAATATCGACAATTTTGCTCAGAGTTCAGTCGTCCTCAACTCACTCATTAGGATCTGTTTGAAATGTTGATAATTAATTGTGTTATTAGTTAAAGGACGCCTCAGTTAATTAGCAAAATTTCAACATTTCTACAGATCATTTTAACTCAATCATTCCTATTACAAATATTATTAAGCCGTTGTGTGTGTGTGTGTGTGTGTGTGTGTGTGTGTGTGTTGTGTGTGTGTGTGTGTGTGTGTGTGTCGTGTGTGTGTGTGTGTGTGTGTGTGTGTGTGTGTGTGTGTGTGTGTGTGTGTGTGTGTGTGTGTGTGTGTGTGTGTGTGTGTGTGTGTGTGTGTAAAGTTCTTTAGTACAGCCATAAACTTATGTATACATGTACAGAAGTTAGTACTGTATAAGAACATGAACGTGTTATATGTGTGTATGCGTGTAGGTTTGGGCTGTGTGTGAACGTGAGCGTGTGTGGGCGTGTACGTGTAGGAAGTAATTTGGGGTGGGGTGAATGTAGGCTTGGGCGTGTGTGGGCGTGGGCGTGTGTGGGCGTGGGCGTGTAGGAAGTAATTTAGGGTAAGGGGTGTAGGTCTGGCAAGGGTCCACTACTCTACATGCAAAACCCAGCCTCGTAAACCTTGACGACGAGAGAAAATGTACTGACACCCCTCACTTCCTCCCTCCTCTCTCTCTCTCTCTCTCTCTCTCTCTCTCTCTCTCTCTCTCTCTCTCTCTCTCAGTATAAACAGTCATCTAACCCCCCACCCCCACAACATGACATACATTGTGTACACGAGCATCATGGCGTTTCCTCCACCACATAACACTGGCGGAAGCAAAGCCGGACGAACATTCACCCAAGCCTTCCTCTAACCCTTCGCCAGGCAGACGTTAGCCAGGCTCATAATTCCTTCCCTCATTCCCAACATGGGTTCTCTCAATGTGGGTGATAGATAGATAGATAGATAGATAGATAGATAGATAGATAGATTCATTAGTAAGAGATAATGATGCGTGAGACTTCTTCAACGTCTCTCTCTCTCTCTCTCTCTCTCTCTCTCTCTCTCTCTCTCTCTCTCTCTCTCTCTCTCTCTCTCTCTCTCCAGGCACTAAACTACCCTCCGGTGCCAATTGAAACTTGTACCAGTGTCTAACAGGACTTGGTACCTTACTCAGTGCCATTCAGTGCCTCTCTTGGTCTTGTCTCGCAGCCTCCTAGTGTGCGTGCGTGTGTGTGTGTGTGTGCGTGTGTCTTTTGTGGGGTGAGACTTAATATATATATTTAATACATATATACATAATAATATATAATACATGTATACATAATTTATGAATGTAACGCCCATATGCAGGCCAAAAAAATATTAATTAATATATACGATTCTAATTTCGTCCATGACTGCTGAGGATCGCAGGTCCGTGTGTGTGTGTGTGTGTGTGTGTGTGTGTGTGTGTGTGCATTAATACGTACAGTACATTTATTCTTTAAACCTAATCGCCATATTACACCATTCAGAACTGCTATACCACTTCAGGCGAATACAGGTAAACGCCTTTAATCACCACCACTAATGACCCTAATTCCATATAAACCCTCATTTACATAATACTTCATTCACTACTACGAGATTATTTACACATAATAGGAATTGTATTATTGTCATTGTGTTTGTGTGGGAAGAAGGCCTTATGTGTTAGTGGGTAAATAATTCATAATATCATCAACAGGTAAGATTTATTTTCCTGGTGGAAATCAGGTGAGTGCTTTAGGAAGTCGGAACTGTTAAGGTTAGATTTGGTTTGGTTAGGTTAATTGAGGTAGGTTTGGTTAGGTTACGTTACGGTAGGTTTAGTTAGTTAGGTTTGGATGGGTTAGGTTAGGTTAACTCAAGATACATCAGGATAATGATCAACAGGATACATCAGGATAGAATCTGGTCGTAAAAACTCAGACTTTGTTATACACGAAAATAAACTCACAGACTCATCTATAGCAACCTACAATCACACACACACACACACACACACACACACACACACACACACACACACACACACACACACACACACACACACACACACACACACTACAAACAATGTACTCACGTCAAGTTGAGGCACCTCGGCTACCACATTAGTCCTGACACCTCTGACTGACACCACGGATATCAACACCATGCCCACGGACGCCCACACCACGCCCACTACTTGCCACCACGCAGCTGTCATCCTTAAATGTCCCTGGTTGTGTGGATGTGTGGTTGTGTGGGTGTAGGTGGGGAGAGAATCAACCAACACCACCACCTCAGATGACCTCTCACGTGACCTAGGCCCCCTGGATGACCCGCAGAAGAGCATCATTTACGTCTTGAGAATGCCATCGGGTTGTAAGGAGAGGTTGGAGAGAGAGAGAGAGAGAGGGGCGGCAGGATGGTAGGATGGAGGGCAATAGGAAGTGGGAAGTAAGTTAGAGAAAGAGTAAATGGATAGGGAAGAGGAGAGGAAAGTGGTGGTGGTGATAATAGGAGATAAAGAAGACAAGACGAGAGAAAGCGAGTGAGGAGAGAGAGTGGGGAAAGCGAGAGGGAGGAGAGAGAGGGAGAGTGATGATGGCTTTCTGTTCGACAAGATCGTCAAACACACACAATCACCTCAATGGATGCTAAAAGCCTTCGACAGCCTGTGTGAAGGACGAGAAGTAACTACCCTAGGAAGTGAGAGAAGAAAGAGAATGTTACTAATCAATCATAACCTGTGGCAGAGTGGTGGTGTAAGATAAGTGAGAGGGAAAGAAAGAAAGAGAGGTACTTTCTAATCACCCATAGTTTGTGAGAGAGAGAGGTGGGAGGTAGAGGTGGTGTAAATGAGCCGGGTGAAGGTACTTGACTGATAGCGTCTGGGACTAAGGGAATTTTCTGTGATGTATGGGTGGGTGTGGGCCCAGTGGGTGGGTGTGGGCTGGTTGACGTTGGCCCAGTGGGTGGTGTGGGCGGGTTGATGTTGGCCTAGTGGGTGGCTTTGGCAGATTCACAGTGGCCCAATGGAAGGCTTAGGAGCTGTCGTAATAACGTTGATGTGGGCGTGGGTGTGGGCGGTGGTGTGTGTGTGGGCGTGGAGGAGGTGAAAGTCGAGGACGTCCACCTCAGGAGAAGAACAGAGGCTCCTGAACACCTGTAGGAGAAACAAAGAAACATACAAACAATTAGTCACCTGGTTAATGAGTATAGGCACATAATAACACCTGTCCTTCCTTACACCTGTTCCCTTACACCTGTTCCCTTACACCTGTCTTCCCTTACAACCTGTGCCCTTACACCTGTTCCCATACACCTGTCTTCCCTTACACCTGTCCTTCCTTACACCTGTCTTCCCTTACACCTTTCTCCCTTACACCTGTCAGACATATTATCATCCATATAATCTACTTAACATACTAATTATATAATCTTAAGCATGAGAGTTCCAGGTATATAGTGTTTTTTGATGCACATATGTAGTTAAAGACCTCGTGAGTCAGGTGAGTGAGTCAATAGGTGGGCCAGTATATGAGTAAGTCGTGGAGTCTCTCTCTCTCTCTCTCTCTCTCTCTCTCTCTCTCTCTCTCTCTCTCTCTCTCTCTCTCTCTCTCCTCTCCTCTCTCTCTCTCTCTCTCTCTCTCTCTCTCTCTCTCTCTCTCTCTCTCTGTCATTTCACGGATGATAAATGACAGAGAGATGGTTGATGTGATCTAACGCGGACAGGTACCATGCATAAAGGTGAAGCTGGAGGAGAATGGAAACACTGGATTTGATTTCTTACAGGTGAGGTGAGATGTTGATTGGGTAGGTGTGAGAGAGTGAGGGGAGAGAAGGGGGGCTGAGATGAAAAGAAAGTTATTGCTTTTCTCTCTTCTCAGTAAGGCAATATCACACACACACATACACCTGTACTGATTGGTCGTGGCCACCTGTGTTATGTGCCCCTCAGTGGGTGGCTGAAGAAAGAAAGTTCATATCGGGAGTGCTCTCTCTCACTTTCTCTTGGCGATGATTGCGTTATCTGACTTTCTATTACGACATCTGGTTCTGGCTTGCTTTTTTACTTTTCTCTCTCTTTTATTAATTGTTTGGTTGTCTTTTGATTTTATATGGTTTATCATCTTCTATTGTACTTTCTATCCCTTTCTTTTGCTTTCTATTCCTTTTATTCTTTTCTCTTCCTTTTCCTTTCTATTGTTTTTTCCTTACCATTGCCTTCTCTTCCTTTCTATTCCTTTCTCTTTGCCATTACTTTCTCACACTTTCTGTCTCCCTCGCACTTTCTCTTTCTTTCTGTTCTTTCTTATTCCTTTCTTTCACTTTCTATTACTCTCTATTGCTCTTTTCTCTCGTCTTCCCTCACGAGATAAATGGCGAGTGTTACTGATTACTTGCACCTGATCTTGTCATCTAGGGAGAGAGAGGGACAGGTGAACCCCGGCACCTGTGTGATGTAATGAGAGAGAGATGAGGAGGAGGGAAGAGTGAATGGTAAGGGAGGAAGAGATGTGAGAAAAGGAGGAAGGAGAAGAAGAAAAGAAAGAAAGGTAAGAGGTGATGAATGGAGTGAAGGGAGAACTGAGAG